ACTAATTGCTCATCGTTTCGTCTATATATAACTTATTGTAGGGAGTACATGTTATTAATTACAAAAAATAATTTATTGATAAAAAAACTTTTATATACATCTTCTTAGTTACTTGTAAAATCCAATGCTGAAAAAACCATGATGAAGAAACTATAAAATCATCTCTAAAATTAAGTTTTAAGAGTAAATTTTAGCTTGGACTAATAAGCTGAAGAACAAAAGTGGAGCTGCAAGAAAGCAAGCAAGCACATATATACAACTAGCTAGGAAGAAATAGCTACTACTGCCTCCTTTCGCAAATGTTAATTTGACGACCAAGATATAGGGAGTATTCTTTTTTTTTTCATAATTGATGATTAATTATTGCTCTTGTTTTCGTTCGTTCATGGCTACTACCATGGTGCGTTTCTCATTCTCTGAGATGCTATGCTAGCCGAAGGTGGCATCATATTTGACAAAGCCTACTGTATTCATAAAAACTATTCGACAAAGTCCTGTCAAAGTAAAAAAAAATGTTGCATGTAGCCATATCTTGGATTGGTGAGTGCAGATGCAAGAGTAATATATTAATACGTACGTAAATTTTTTTTTAGAATTACACAGTACAATGCAGATACTCACAACGTATACGCACTCACCCTTATGAACACACGTACGTAAACCCTATCCCTATGAGCATTTTCGAAGACTGGGCCGGCAAATTCTAGAGAGATTGACGAAGTCATCACAGGCGTCTCGCTGTTGACGGGTACGTCGCAATACGTACGTAAATTTATTTATTAAACTGTTCCAAGCATTGAGCAATACAACTTCATCGAGTAAAACGGCATCAATAATCAATCATGAGGTTTATTGTTTGGAAGAGGTTACTGTTGTTTAAATTAGCTGACTTCTGATCACGAGCCCAACGGCTATGCAAATTCCTATTTTGGCTGCTGAAAATTTGTTTCACTTGGAGCTCGCAATATGATGATGGATCATTTGTTATATATGCTGTCAAACATGTATGCTATATAGCATAATAGCAATCAAATGGCGTGACAGTTTTGAGCTCAGTGTTTGTTGTGACTTGTGAGGATTGCCAAGAACCGAGTAAGCCAAGATTCTGAGAAGCTAGATAGTGAGAAACTGGAGAAGCTAGGTTTCCCAGCTTCTAACTTCTAGCTTATTTTCTAGATTCTACAACTATAGATTCTCAGAATCTAGTAAAAAGCTGGACAGTTTGGAGGAGCTTCTGGCAGCTGGAGATTCTAGGAGAAACTGCAGTTGCTAGAAGCTTCCTCAAACAAGCCCTAGCAACAGTGCTACACCTTCTAATGGGCCTGAAGGCCCACCCCAGACAAAATTCGTGGCCCACGACAGATTCAGTTTTCTCCATCATGGGCCTAGGCCCAGCTATCAGGGAGAGAGACCTATACTGAATAGGGGGCCTGTTGAAACAATTTGATCCTGGAAAATACACTACTTCCCCATTTAGGAGCAGTAAGTTAGCGGCATATGTGGAAATACTTTTCTTTTTGACGAAAATCATCCCTTCTTTATTAGGATATTTTCTCATTTGTTTTTCTACTTTAACTTGTTTTCTTTATTTTCATTCAAACACTGAAATATCTTAATAACCACGCTTTTCTGGAAATCCTGCTCCATCCGGTTATAAATCGGTGGTGTTTAGGACAACGTCTAGTCAAAATTTTAAAATTCTGACCAAATTTACTGAATCCATCAAAAAATGTAAAACATATTTCTCTTTTTTCCTCGGTTTTTAACTTTTCTGTATGCTTTCTGTTTGCCATTATACGAAAACCGACATTTTAGAAAACCGATAAAACCGAACCGATTTAACAGAAAAAACCGAATGCCCACACCTAGGTTTGACGAGGTATAGTTTCTCCTGGTTGATGGAGTACAGGTGTGTACAGCTAGGTTCGGACAAGATCCAGAAGCTTCTTCTCTCAGCCTAATTTACCATTGGTGGGGTCCATCTGGTAGTAATAAGTGCGCTGATGATTCTGTCAACGTCAACGCCGTTCCGCGTCGGTGCACGCGCTCGATCTGCCTTTAAATGATTCCATGACATTTAAATGATTCCATGAATTTTCGTGATGTTTTAAATGACGATATACTATATTTTAAAATATATCTTTAACTATATTTTCTATAATGATATTTATTTATTTATTAGCACATTTAAACTTAATATTTTTAGAATTATTGATACAGAGTTCTAAATTAAAAAATTTGACCATAGCATTAGTCAAAACATAATAATTATAAGAATCGGAGGAAGTACGGTGCTACACTCCCTCTAATGCCCAAATTCTTAATAATTACTTCTTATTTAAACGTAGTAGTGTGTTCCGTAAAAAGTAAAAAAAAACAATTATAAATTAATAAAATAAAATACTCTTTAGATAATGATGATCACATATGGGTGGTGGGGCCCACCCGGTGGCTGCGTGGGCCATGCCAGCGCATCGTCGTCAATCTCCAGCCACAAGCTGAGATTGCCTCTCTTCACTCCACTTGTGTCAAAGCCGCCTCTCATCTCACCTCACCTCGTCTGCCAACGAACCGTCCTACTACTACATAAGATTATTTTTTGTCCAAAAAGTACGTTAACTATTAAATGTGACTCATATAATACTAGATTATTATATTGTCAATAAAAAAATACATGTATAATCTTAAGGGCATAAACAATATATATTACTCAACTAATTATTATAGGTGGGACGATGAGCATTGGTCCTTAAACTATTTCATTTCTCACAATGGCTAAGGGCACCCGTAATGGTTATCTATAGGCTCTCTACAAGATATCCATGTCAGCATATTTTCCTACTTAGAAGAGATTAAATGAAGAGAGAGAGCAAAGCTATCTACTAACATGGAGATAGTCTATAGAGAAAAACGAGGCAATGCATTAGAGAGCTATAGATACCCATATAGACATACTATTGAGGTGGTTTACTATTAATCTAATCTATTGCTGAGATGTACATGTTTTATAGAGAGCACCTTACTTTACCATTGCAGGTGCTCTAAGTTTAGCTATTTCATTTCATTGGTCCCAAGCACCATATTCTTGTTCAGTTGAAAAGAAATGAATTATTTTTGTACTACAACTAGAATCTTTTTTTTCTTTCGGCAAAGAAAATAAAGACGCCTCAATTCTTCTGTAGCTATAGCTAAGGCTAAAATTTAGTTAGCAATCCCAAGACACCTGTTAATTTAGGGGTTGTTTAGATTGATGTCATATTAAACCGTACCAAATTTTTTTTAGATAAAGTTGTCAAATATATGTATCCATTTAGTTTTTTACCAAACTCTAGTAAAACACATAAGAAATCCTGCTAAATTTTTGTAATATTGTCAAATTATCAAAATTTGATAAGATTTATTTTAGCTACAATCTAAATATACCCTTAATTACTCTTCGCTCCTCCAGCTAAGCTAGAGGCTAGTCAAAGATGGGGGGCACTCGACTCGATCACAATCTTGGCGTTGACATTTTTCTCCGCTGCTGGCCACTCTCCCTGGTTCACTGCCACGGTAACAGAACGTGGATTGTTCCAACGGTTTACCTGATGTGGGTCCCACGTCCCAGTGAGAAAATAAAGAGGGAAGGGTAGTGCTACTTTACACTGTTAATCCTAGGTTAAATATATCCTCTGTATTATACTTAGGGAGTGGAAGCTGGTGGTAGTGACCATTTGAACAATATAAATGAGCAAATTAGCGGCAACGTAGAACGGGATAGCTATAAAAATTAAAAAAATATATTTATTTGAGTTTTTAAGAAATTTCTTCATAGTTTCTTTTTTTTTTGCACGAATCATACAATTGAACTGTTTGAAAAGCATGCTAACGAAAAATGAGCAAGTTGTAATTTGGAGCTGTGGAAAAGAACATAGCCTAGTCAACTTCATTTTTATACTATGCCCGATGATAAGATTATAGGTGCCATAAATGTTAAAGGAGTCATACCTATAAAACCCTATATATAACCATCATATGCGGTGTCGGACCATATAATTACTTTTAACAGTAGATTTCAGCTTAATAAGGCCTTATTTAGTTGGGGAAAATTTTTAGGTTTAGTTGTCACATCGGATATATGGATACGTTTAAAGTATTAAACGTAGTCTAATAACAAAATAAATTACAGATTCCGCCAGAAAACTGCGAGACGAATTTATTAAGCCTAATTAATCCACCATTAGCAAATTTTTACTATAGCACCATATTGTCAAATCATAGCGTAATTAGGTTTAACAGATCCATCTTGCAATTTACACGCAATCCGTGTAATTGGTTTTTCCCCTACATTTAGTACTCTATGCATGTGTCCAAATATTCGATGTGACAGCGTGAAAATTTTTGTTTTGGGAATTAAACATGGCTTAAGTTTTACACGACATTGTAGGATGATTTTTTTTTTACTTTGGTAGGACTAATAATTATCAGGTAAAATTGGTTATATAGCATCGAAAGTTCACTTTTTTTTACAGCACCGAAAGATACATCATTGTGGCGGCATTATTTTATTATTATTATTGGGTTTGCTGGTTTATGACCAATATGGCAAATCCATCAACAACAAACAAAACGTTAGCTTAGCCATGCCCATTACTCCTGTAGTCGAGGGGTTTGCTATTCTGGCTCTCTATTAAGCTCATAAAAAATACTAGTCCACACATAAGCATTATTATCTTTTGTTAAATATGATGGTAGTTTTTACCTGGTAATAATCATGGGATTGGGTATATTGTATTTTTATTTTTGGTATCATTACTTGGTTTTTTTTTGACCAATTTGGCAGTCAACAAAGCAAAGAGTAGTAGGTTAGGCACGCCCATTACTCCTCGTTACAGTAGACGGTTGGCTGGATCGGACCGGCTCTCCCGTGAGGCCCACGGGACGCCCAAAACGGACGGCCCAGATCAGCCCGTGTGGGCCCCACACGCTCGCCGACCTCCTCCTATTAAAACCCGATGATTCCGTGCCTTTGCCTTCGCTTCCCTTCATCACTTCCAAAAAAGAAAAAAAAAACTCGTTTTCTTTTCTTCTCTTCTCTTCTCTTGTTGCGGCGAAGGGGGAGAGGAAGGTCGAGGTCGACGAGATGGGCGGCGGCAATGGGCAGAAGTCGAAGATGGCGAGGGAGAGGAACATGGAGAAGAACAAGGGCGCCAAGGGTATACTAACCTACCCCCTTCTCCTCCCAATCGTCTCGTGCCTCGATTTGGTCTTGATTTGGTCCTTGTTCATGTGTTTCTTGCTTCTTGATCTCATCATCCTCGTGTGTTGTGTGTGCTGTTGATTTTTCGCAGGGAGCCAGCTTGAGGCCAACAAGAAGGCCATGAACATCCAGGTGAGCACCCGATCCATCTCCTCCCCCCTCCCGATTCGCTCCCTCCACCTAACCCTATTCTATTATTCCTCATCTTCTTCTTTCCCCCAATTGCTTGTGTTTTGGGACCACGATTTATGGTGGGATTTAGGGAGGATTTTTTGATTACGCGCGTGTAGACACGCAGGAAATCAATCGGGTTCAATTCCTTCGGCTCTGTTCAGACATATATCGACAGCCTATGTTCTCAAAGTTCTGTTAATTTTGAGCTTTTATAAAGGAAAAAAGAACTGCTGATGTAAAACAATCGTTTATTTTTCACAAGATAGGCTGCTGTTAATGATTCCAGGTTAGCTTTATGCTTGCCTGGATCTAATTCCAGGTTTTGTTAGTTGAGATCCATGTACTCTTATAGTTCTGTATATGTCAGTGTGATGATTTATCTGAACCTTCGGGTAGCAATAGCATCGACAATCCTTGTGAGGTATTATCCTGTTGTGTAATCGTTAGAATATATGTGATGGAAGTTATGTCCTCAACAAATTAATGAACTGATTGTTAAGTATCTTTCATCAGTCCACTAGTTATGTATTAAGCCGAAGTTTGCCGATGGCTTCACTGGTTAAGATATGTAAAGCATGAATTTGTGCTCCTAGCGTTGTTGTTTCTCGAATCTGTAGTCGTATTGATATCTAGTGCATTCTCTTGGTGAATTTTTCCATTGTAGCCATCACGATGTACGATTTTGTGGTAATCTTTTTTCTTAATCTGGTGTACTCAACAACGGTTCCATCTCAATGCAGTGCAAGATATGCATGCAGACTTTCATCTGCACCACCTCTGAGACCAAGTGCAAAGAGCATGCTGAGGCGAAGCATCCGAAGAGCGACCTCACCGCGTGCTTCCCTCACCTCAAGAAATAATGGCGGTGGCATCTCTCTGCTCAATCAGAAGAGAAAAAGAGAAGCTGCCATAATCCACTAGTATCATCTTGTATGCAATGACTGGTTGCCCTATGTATGGGTCTAAACTTTGGTCAGCTGCTGCTGCTTCTTTGGTTGTGTGCCTCATCTAAATATGTAATGCTCTATCAACCTCTTGTGCAACGATATTAATCTTGTGTGGATTTGCTGCCTGTGTTCAGTCAATATGTTATGTTGCAACATCACTCTTCACTAATTTCCGGTGTCTCCTGTGGTACAAGTCATTGCTTCAACCCAGAGTTTCTTTAACAGTTATGCCATCGTGTTTTTTTTTCCATGGAGCACCTTGTTTATACGTAGTAGTAGATATAGTTCTGTGCTTGATCTTCTATGAGCTCCTACTACTGTATATTTGTATGCATCTAACATAAAGAGTATTGGGGGCTCAAGTACATTTGTATGCATCTGAAATACAGGATTGGCCCACAACTTTTACAGTATAGACCCCATTTATCATTTATAAGCCAGGATCGACCTGTAACCTCTGATTTATAGGTGAGAGCAAGCGTAATTTTCTTCAGATTTACTAGGCTAATCATGTTTGAACTTCTGGAATAGGTTAGTTCTGGAATACTTCGCTAGAAACTGTAAACCTAACTTGGGTCAGTTTAGAGGAAAAAGAATCGAATTTGTTCATCAGAATTCAGAACGCCCATTCTAAAGAGGAATTCAGTTCGCATAAATAGCGTTTCAGTTAGCATGGATAGCTGACAACTTTAATATAGGGAATTGAAATGGTTCAGCGATGATGTCCGAAGTCAAGGTGCATAAAACCATTAAGGTACAGCTAATTGATCATTACAATCAGTCTTAAAACGGACCAACTCGCAAATTAAAAAAAAACATTTATACTCAACGAGAACAATGTGTTTCAATCAATCGTCAGAAACAAAGATACAAACAGCACGAGTAAATCACAATCCACGTTTGCGGTTAAGCACACATGAGCTGTTACATGCTCTCCCAGAATCCTCTTGCCAGGTGATTCAACCATTACCGAATCTCAAACTCCCAATACAAGTGACTGGACTAAGTCACTAATACGGTGCAGCTCCATGACTGCTGCTAATCGACAGTCAGCAATAGTCCCGTTCTTTTGTCTATTGTGCACGAGGCCTACTGTTCTCCGCAGCCCTCACTTGGAGAAAGTATGGGTGTGCCTGCAATCATCCAATGTTATATAAGTGCATGGCAATGGTACACCAAATCAAAGGTCAGAGACCAATAATGCCCAGGAACAATCGCAAAAAAAATATCATGATGTTGTACACTAGTAAAACGCATATTTTGCATAGAAAAAAGGAAATCAAAGGAAGTGCAGAACAAGTTACTTACCATAGCTTCACGTGCAGTAAGTCTATCCTGGTGATCATAGCGAAGAAGCTTGTCAAGGAAATCGATGGCCTAACATAGAAAAGAAATCATGTTGAAAACCATTAATACTTTAATGACAGTAGGTACATTTGTGATAACCTCTGAAGAAGGGGCACTGGAAATACCTCTGGGGATACTAGATGTTGGTTGTCAGCATTAATAAACTTTGACCAAGGTTTCCTGCTGTGCCTGCATATGAAAAAAAAATGTCAAAATTTTAATTCATATTAAAACTAGAGGTCTTGCATTGCATCACATATAATTGTAATTCATATACCTTCCAACGAGGGCTTCAAGCTGTGGGTCAAGCTCAATACGGTACTTGTTCAAGTATGAATTCAGGCTGTCTGTCCCAAGTACCTGTGAATGCAGGGAGTCAGGGAAACAACACAAATAACTAAAGATGATTTATCACATATCTAGCTCAAGTTCAATAAGACTTTTACTGAAGCAGTACTCAACAGAAAGGAAGGGTGTCCATAGTTAACGTGCAAGTTTGAATAAAATGTTAGTGACTAAGTTTGACCAGAATAAAGTTCAGCGGAGAAAAATAGTTGTAACTGTTACTTTTTTTTCTCGAACACGCAGGAGAGCGTTACAACTGTTGCTCCTGATTACTATCAGAACTAATCGCATCATAACAACAAATGAAACAATTCCTAACATCAAACATGGATAACTTGAGCTGCAAATGAAATAAGATAAACCATAGTGTACAGTATGAATGATAAGCTAAACATGAAATGCATTTCATTCTTGTATGAACATCATCTTTTAACATAAACAAGCTGAGAAATCACCTTTGCGATCTTAACAAGTTGATCATGGTTGTCATGACCATAGAAAAATGGCTCCTTGCGGAAGATCTGCACTCAACAACACATTATTAGCGAATCAGCACCAGTTAATTCTTTTATAGAAAAAGGCAGTTGCATTACAAAATTGATGAAATGAGAAAAAGTAATGTATAAATGTCATGGTAATACCATTCCAGCAAACATGCAACCAAGACTCCACATGTCCAAAGAGTAGTCATAATCTTGCAAGTCAACAAGAAGCTCAGGTCCCTTGAAGTACCTGAATTCCAGTGAAACAGAACATGTCAACCAAAAAAAAAAAAAGAAAGGGATGCAACAGGGAAAATATGGAATGAGAGTAGTACAGGCACAGCAAACATAGTAGCTACAGAAAACATTCTTTAAACGTGATTATATGCTCATGCTGCTGGCATTTTTCTGTTCTTCATAGTACTTTAAACATCATTAACGCAAACAATCCAATATCCGCAAGAATTAGATTTGCCTATTGCCTCAGTAAATCATCAAAACAATCATCAAATAAACTGCACGCCAGTTTATTCTAACTTAAATAGTTCACCAAACATACTAAGATTAATACATGTTGTTAATTACTCTATAAGAAAATCAAATGATAAACCCATTAACAGAGCAGTATGTGCCCCTACCTTGAAGCAACACGGACATTATATTCCTTGCCAGGGTGGTAGAATTCAGCAAGGCCCCAGTCTATTAATCGGAGTTTTCGAAGCTCGTGATCTATCATAACATTGTGAGGCTTCACATCGCGGTGCATGATGCCTTGTGAATGGCAGTAATCTAAAGCCTGCACCCATCAACAGAAAAGGGTGTTATATCATAATTGGATCAGCCAAAAATTGCTCAAACCAAACGATGTATGACTTGGATTCTCCTATAGAAGAAAAAGAACATGATATCATTGCTTTTATCATGGGCAAAGATTTCTTCATCTCGTTACTAGCATAGAAAAAGCCTTCATGCACACAGAGAAGCCCTCAGGGAAGAAAAATAGTATTAAGCATAAGTTGGAACTAGAAGTTAGATATTATGCATATAGTTGCAAATTTCAAAGATTTCATTTCAACAAGAACGATACTCTGGAAAAGTGCTGAATAAGTAGTTTCTTGTTGGCAATGTTACAGTAACAAAAAATTGAGAAAGAATAAAACCTTCAGTAGCTCGTAGATATAATAACGGATGTCATAATCTGTCAGGGTTGGGTATAGCACTTTGAAATCTGTGTTGTTGACATATTCAAATATCAAGCTTGGTGTTTTTGAGTGCTGATCTCTAACAATATCAAGCAGTTTCACGATATTTGGACCTCCACAAAGATTCTGAAGTATTTTTATCTCTCTTTTGATCTGCATACAAAAGAAAACTATGGTTAAAATAATAAACACTAATGCCATTGACACAAAGCTAGGTGTAAGATGGAAACAGTACCATGTTACCAGTAAAAGAGCATGTTCAGGGGAAAAGGAAAAAAAGGATGGACAACAGGATTCATGAATCATGAACTACCTTCTTTTTCTTCACAGGCTTGAGAATTTTGATAATGCATTTTTCATTGTTGTTGACATTAATACCCTCAAAGACCTCGCTGTATTTTCCTCTCCCAACTTTCCTGACAACTTCATAATCATCCTGCTCACTGCTCAAAGAGATCATAAATTCAGATACTGTTAACAGGATAGGCTGGGAAAATATAAGTGCCCAGTTGGACATTTTTTGTGAGCTCACTCACAGCATGAATTCCTAATTGACTGGAGATATAAGTACACTATTCAAAACAGTAAGTGATGAACACTGGTATATTTGTGGGGAGAAGACATGCGTCATGCTAAAGTAATCATATACAACCAAAGTTATTTTGGGTTGCTTTTAGAGTACATGATCTTCCTGTTCTGTCTTTAGAAAATGAAGAACAAGCAGAAAACACCAGTGCCAGACCAGGCACTTGAGGGTAATGTGCTGTTGAGCTATAACCTCTAGGCATAATGCACTACAATCAATCCTGATATCTATTTTTCAAGCTATACAAAGGCCAAAGAACCAAAGTACTATCAGGTTATTACACTTAATTCATACCATCTTTAATCCATACAAGAATACAGTAGCAATAAAAACACTTCAAGCTAATCACATGATTGCCTTCATTCAGTGATAAAATACATATTGACAAAGGTCCATTGTCATGGTTAATTAAGTAAAATAAGTTTATTATAACATATATAGTCATTTCAATGGACTTGATTAAGAATATTTACTAAAAAAAATAACATGGTTACTCTAATCCTTAGGTTGAACTGTTGAAGAACAATCCTTCAGCACAAGCCTTAATGCTGCACATGGTTGCTGCCCAAAATAGCTGTTTTAAGACCACAGGATCAGTATGACCCGTGGACTCTAAACTTATAGAGCAATTGATGCATGCCTTGGATTCCTATTACAAAGTAAATTAAATTGTAACACCAAATGATGAGCCCAATTCTATCTAAACTAAATCATTCGACAGATTGAAACTAACTAAAAAACATGCCCTCTGCGCAACATCGCTAATCTAACATGCAATCTGAAACAATGGGAATTCAATGAGAACGACAGCAGTTTATGTGTTATTGTTGCCTCCATGTACGTGGTTTAGAGAAATGTATTTACGATGCAAACTTGTAGATGACACCGTAATCGCAAGTCAAAAAATGGGTAATTTAAGTAGCCACTAGTGAACAGAAATTATTAGTAAGTAATCAATTGTCCCAATGATTTCAGGGAGTATATCCATTTTCCCAATATAATATATGCGAATAAAAAAAATCGCACGACTCAATCAAGCTCGCACCCAACAATACCTTCCCTGGATCACCGACGTCTAGAATTCCAACAGCACACACTCCAGATGCAGCATCCAACCCTGAATCTAACTGAATGGATGAATTCACCGCATGCAGATACACAGGCAGCAACAAATGCGGGAGGGCCTGCTGCCCACATGGGTGGGTGGGTGGGCGCGAAGCAATTGCGACGTAGGACACACTCACCCCCATCGGATGGTGAGGGCCTCGTAGTCCCAGGACCTTGTTTGGCCGCTTTTACAGAACATGATCTTCCTGTCGTTTCTTAGGAAGATGAAGAACAAGCAGTAAACACTAGTACCATAACAAACACTTGAGAGGGTAATATACTGTTGCACTCTAGACATACAGCATATTGCATCACAATCAATCAGGATAGCTGTTAGTCATATACTAGACAAAGGCCATGGAGCCCAGCTCATATCAGGTTGTTACACTTAATTATATCATCTTTCACCAATACAAGAATACAGTACCAATAAAACCATTCCAAGCTAATCAGGCGGTTTCCTTGATCCAGTGATAGAATACATATTAGCATAGATCCAATTTATGATTATTTGATGTAGGAGAAGTTTATTATAATCTACACGGTCATTTCATTGACATGGTTTACCAGTGTACACTAAGTCGTATTCTTCAATTTAGCTCTGTATATTGCATAATCCTTGGCTTGTATTGTTGGAGTATAACAAATAATTAATTGAAATCGACTGTAACAATAAATAAGACCGAGTTCTATCTAAACTAAACAATTTGACAGCTCTCCGCACAAGATCACTAATCTAACATGCAACCTGAAACAATGGAACTCCAATAACAACAAGAGCAGCAGTTGATTCACAAACAATTCTATTTACAATCCTAATAACTTGATGATAACACCGGCGATTGCAAAGTCATGAAACGGGTAACTAAAAAGCTTTATCATACGTATCAGCACGCAACATCCGACACTGAATCTAAACTGACCCACGCAGATGCAGAGGCGACAACACAGGGTGGAAGCAAGAGCGAGGTAGCGAGGTAGGAGTGGGAGGCACTCACCCCCATTGGACGGTGAGGGCCTCGTAGTCCCAGTACTCCTTGGGGCGCAGCACGTTGACGTCGGTGTAGACCCTGGCCTTGGACATGGCGCCGATCTGGGACTGGATCCCGCCCGCTGCCCAGGTGGGGGTGGGCGGGCACAGCGGTGAGGCAACGACGACCCGGGAGAGCGAGGCGGAGCGGTCAGGTGGGGGAGCGCATCGGCGAGGCGGGCGTCGCCGGCGGCGAGCCTAGCTAGGGTTTCGACGAGGGAAGGGGACAAGACGAGGAGGAAGAGATGAATCTTTTTTCCTTTTTCTTTCTTTTTTCTGAGAGGGAAAGGGGAAAGAAAAAAAAGAAGAAAAGTTGGGGATATTGGCCAGTGCTAATGACAGGTGGGGCCCTGGATCCGAGCGAGTGGCGTGGCCCACCTGACGGTGACTGTACAAGTAGCAAGGTTGTTGATCTTTTTAGGGGACTCCCCGTCATTTGCCCTCCAGCTTACAAATGGCGGTTATAATTTAAATGAAAGCCCGCACGTTGCTGCAGAATTTATTTTGCATGATAATGGTAGGATTTGTTTTGTACTCTCTCCGGTTTTATAATAATTGACATTTTGGACAAGATTAGGGACAAATTTTTATAACTTTGACCATTAATAACTTTAAAAATATTTAGTTTAAAGAAACTAGAACAATATATATATAGATTTGTCTTTCAAAGCACTATAACAAAAGTAAACATGTATTTATTTAATATATATATTATGATAGAAAAATAAGGTTAAAGATATATTTTGTAGTCCGTGCCATTGTCCAAAACATCAATTAAAATTAAACCGGAGGGAGTAGCTAGACAACATAATTTTATATACTTTATAAAATTTGCATCTTTGATTGATAGTTGAAAAAAGCTATAAGCAATTTAGATGATACGGTTTATGACAATTTAAATTATAGATTGATCAACTAAAAGCAAAACTAAGCAAAACTAAGGTGATGTAACTTTATGAGAGAGGAAAAGGAAGGGAAACAATATAGATGAATCATCTGAAGACAAATTTATGTTGTTTTGGTTTCGTAAGAGAAGAAGAAAGAGGCAGGCAATTTGGACACTAAACGTTGGCACAGGAATTAGAGCGGATTTGATTGAAGCCAAATTTTCTCTTGATTAAACTAAAGAAGTATATTTGTAAAAATAAAAAATAATAATAATAAAGAGAAAGCAATAAGATATCAATAAGATATGACACAAAGAACTTGAAGTTGTATTTGCATGTTGATCCATTAGAGTAAGTCATCAAGATAGCCAAATTACCTGTGAGAGATGGGGAGGATGTATAGAACATTCGTTCACAAAATGCATATATAATTATTGCATTGTGTTGGCAGGCCAAAGTGCATGCAATCCCAGACATGCACGAAGACATCTTTTTTTCTTTTGTTAGGTCAGTTTATTGCACATCACAAACATTATACTGTAGACCCTGTGAACTTATGAATGAAACTATAAAAGCAAGTTTCTTTCAATTGAATCATTTTAAGGAAAAAAAGAAAAAAAATGGCTATTCGGATTATTGAATCAGTGTATGAGCACACAAAACAACTGTAGTGATGAGGTAGATTAGTGTAGTGCCATGCATTTGAACGGACTTAATTAGCGAGGCCATTGATTTGAGAGAAGACAATGCGTCGTCGCTCTAGGCTGCAGCCACAGGCACCTCGAACAAAGAGATGAAGGTTCTCTTGCGCTCTGAGCTCGCAATCAATTGGGCCTAAACTGAGAAATGGGCCTCCAAAGTGCATCTGAAGAGAGATCATGGTGCTTAATATTACGCTTGGCAGTAGCTGATATGAATTGATCCAACGGATTCAATTAGCTGGTGACGTGGAGGCAGGAGATAGCAGTTTTGGGTCTTAACTTTATATAGAAAGAAGGGATTTGAAAACTTAATTTTAAAAGTTAAAGTACGTTTTCCAAATTGTGCTACGTATCTTTATAGTAACACCATGCGGTTTAAATAAAGAAGTTTCACAAACTCTCGTTCCTACGATATGGCTGCACCTCTGCACGTACACGCAGCCACCGGTGGTACATGTATAGTACTCGTAGTTTCAACCAAACAAAACGACGATAAAAGGAAACACCGATACAATTCAGGCGTTGATCGATTGTCCCCTTCTCGAATTTTTGACAATCTAATCATTTTATACAACTTATTTCAAAAATAAATATCAAAAACTGATTATTTTTTTTAAAAAAAATGACATCAAAGTGGGCACTGAGATACAACGTCCGCAATGAAATTGTCACATCACGAGAGCTCGTCCAAAATATTTTATGCAGGCTCCTAAAGTAAACAAAGTGGTGCTAGCAGCCTAGCACGATGGTTCAATGCTTTTTCTATTTTTTTTTTATTTTTAGGTGTTTTCTATTTATCCTCCCTCGACTCTACTCGTTCTATTATTCTTTTTCCAAAATATCACATGGTCTGTTTAAATTTATTTTAGTTTGATCAAACTGGGAACTTAAATTATAAATAATAATAATAATAATAATAATAATAATAATAATAATAATAATAATAATAATAATAATAATAATAAACTATTTAGCCCAGTAACTATAAATTTGTATTTGGTTTTCAACATGGAAGGAACAAATTTGACTACTTAAATTATATAGTAATTGTCTTAATAAAATATGTAGCTATGATATTTGTATTAATAAAATATTTAGCTTAATCTGTCGACGGGGATATACATAGATCATATTCTGAGAGTATTGGGGTACATCGATATAAGTATATAAATGATACGATATTAAATACACCAGAAGACAAACATTAAATTCAGACGACTCGAAACTTCACTGCCTTCGCTCGCACCTTTTTGCGTCGCCACTAGCAGGGCATGAGCTCCAACGCCGCCGTCGCCGGGTGATGGAGCTGTATGCCTGTTATAGTAGGTCCAAACAAAGCCAACCAAACATCCAAGTCACTAGCTATTTCCAACAGTCGAATCGAGTTTAGTTTATCAATGGAGGTGCCGATCCTTTTCATCTACAAGGAAATCAAGTAGAGGTGGAGCCATACAGAGACATATCCCTAGAGCAGCTCCGACATGCTGGTGTGCAGGTTCGGGAGGGACATGGATGTGGAGACGAAGGACTTCTGAGCAGCAGAAGCTTTAGGAAAACCGGAAGGAGGGAGCGTTGTACGGCGCTCGAATTATTATTCCGCACGCAGCGCGTGGATTAGCGCTACCGGGTATTTGAACTTTTTTTTCCTTTTTCATATGTGTTGGAATTGGAATCTCTGGACCGAATTTTTTTTTATCATGCCAGCGACACATCAAGACTAGTTTTGTATTTGGGCCAGCCAGTCCATCTCTCCTTCACTCTTATTAAAAATTGTAGTAAGTCCACTTTGATTCTCTTAACTAGTGGCCAAATCTAATTCGAATCCTGAATTATAATAACGGATATCTTGACCCCCCCAACTATTACAATCAATGCAATTTGATTCCTCGACGGTTTTGGAGGACAGTTTCGCTAACGTGGCCTTTGACTTGGTCAACCTTTTTTTACTGATGTGGCAAGCTAGTCATAAAATACAAGTGAGGCCCATATGTAAGCCAACTCCAAGGAGGCCCTCGCCAATGACGTGCTCCCGAACGACAGGCTTGTTTGCTTCTCCACTTCTTCCTCCAAGCCGTCTTCTCCACCGCCGCCTCACATCCCGGCTCTCAATTGGCCACTCCGTCACCATCGTCGGCCCGAAAGGGCCAGGGTGAGAAAGAGAAGAGAGCCCCGCCGCCGCCGCTCCCCACCGATAAGAAGAAAGGTGGAGAGAGGGTGAGATATGATAGTAAGGGGGACAGAAGGTGGCCCCCACTTGACATGCAAGTGATTAGATTTTTTTTAAAAAGGGGCCCACTTGTCAGCCTCTTTCTCCCCTCTATATTTTTCCCCAAACACTCCACGCTTAGCGGTGTGCTGCGGTGTCGACGGGACTTCTCACCATCCCTCGCGGCGGCGAGCGCAAGGGATGAGAGACCGCAGGAAGGAGAGCCGGAAGCAGGGGGCGACATCCTCCTTACCCGCCGCTCCGTCCCTCTTCGGTCAACGGGAAAAGAGCAGGAGGTGGTGGCAAAGGCATGCGGAGAAGACGTAGGTGGCAGCAGAGCAACATCCCACTCGACGAGGGCTCGCAGCACGTGTCCGGTGCCGCATAATCCTCCGGTGATTGAGATTCTCTACCTTAAGTTAGGTGACTTTTAGAGTCACTGACATGTGGGTTCATAGCAAAGAAAACCCATATGTCAGTGACTCAAAGTCATGTGACTTAAGTTAGAGGATCTCAATCCCATCCTACGGTGGTCGGCACCATCTCTCTCGCTACCTGCCATGTGTGCATCCGTGGCATCCAACGGTAGAGGAAGAATGGTTGAGGGTTGAGGTGGAAGGGTAGAGATGAGATTTCACATGCGCCTCCAGGCCTCATTATTAGGCTGCGTTCGGTTGCAGGGGTTCTCATCCCCTCTCCCTCATTTTCCACACGCACGCTTTTCAAACTGCTAAACAGTGTGTTTTTTTGCAAAAGGTTTCTATACGAAAGTTGCTTAAAATTCATATTGATCTATTTTTTAAAAAAATTAGTTAAAACTTAATTAATTACGTGTTAAGTGCTGCTTTGTTTTACGTGCCGGGAAGCGAGGGTTCCGAACACAGCCTTGAGAGAGAGAGAGGCAGCCGAACGGAACGGAGAACGGGAGCAACACAACGGAACGGAGATGGATGGCGAGAGAGATACTCCCCCACCTCCGCTTCGGCTTCTCCTCCCAAATCCATCACCATCACCAGAGAAAGAGAGAGGCGAGGAAGAAGGAAGGCTAGGGCAAGATGGCTCTCGGGGCTCTCCTCCGCCGCGCCCGCGCCCTTCCCCTCCTGCCCCAAGGCACCGCCGCGCGCTCCTTCTCCGCCCCCAACGTCGGCCACTTCTCCGCCTCCAACACCAAACACGCCATTCAGGTGAGACAACACTTGTGCACCTCTTCCATCTGGAGTAGTTCTTTTTTTTTTTTTGTGGTCAAAGCATCAACAACGTTTACTTGTCAGGTCTTTGATTGTTTCATTTGTTTGAGAAGATGGCAACAAGAACAGCTTGCATTTTGTAGCAAGAGTAATGATTGATGACTTCCCATTTCACTTCTTCTACCCTTTTTTTTTTTCATCCAAGCACGTGCAACACAAATAATTCCAAATGTGAGCACCTACCCAGTGTCCTGAATTCTGTTTCTAGTCAAACTAGTAGGTATACAATAGTACAAAGCAAATGATCCACTAACAGATATCGCTAGTATTACAATTACATCACCCTGACCCTGTTATTTTTTTTCCTCTCCTTGCTGATGCCGCTTTTATGTGAAACAAATCAAGATTGCTACTCCATATTATGATCTTGACGATCCAAGCAGATGGTATACATTTCAACTGGTCGCCGCACTTCCCATTTCTCTAAGTCAAACAATACTTTTTGGTGGATTAGGACAGAGAAAAGGCCGATTTTTTTTCATCTAAACGCATGCAACACTCTAATTCTAGATGTGAGCACACAAATCCAGAAGTTAAATCTGTAGGCATGATGCTCACGTGTGCACTGATTGTTCCATCGAACTCTTAATCCAACAAACTAATATGCACCGGTAAATCGATGTATAGCCCAACTGCCACTGTTAGTCAAACTACCTAGTGATCAAGGATGATAGATGAACCATTACGAGAGTGAGTAAAATAGGTCAACTTGCTGACTGCCATCTTGCTATCAGCCTTGAATTTTCTTCGACCTCCGTTGCTTCTCCCTCTGCTAATTCAGCAAACTATTTTGCTTGAGTTCAGATATTGCTTTTCATTTTGGTATTTGGAACTGCATAGGACATTTAATTAAATAGATAGCCTAGTTATTTTGTTGGGCATCAGGCCATCAGTTCAACCGAAGTACCTGTTCACATGTGCATGCTGCTTAGAAATAGAACTCCTAACCTTACATGCTCACATCTAGAATTAGGGAACTGCATGTGTGATGAAAAAAAAAAAACTCAGGAGAAAAAGCGAATAAAGCTCGAGGCTGACGGCATGACAGCCATGGGCGGACCCTCCCTTGTGGCAAGGTGTGGCAGCTGCCATACCTAGCTTCTGGTGTGAACAGCCCCTGCTAAACAACGATGCTGAATGTTTCGTAGGTTGTCACGGTGGCGAGTGATGACAGAGGCAAGGAGCAAGCGATCGATCAAGCTCTGCTGTAAAATTGTCATTTGACGTAGCTGGCACAGAGCAGTTGCTAGTTCGGGGATCTCCGGATAGCGGGCACGCGGCTAAGATGGTCTGACGATAGATTAGCAGAGCACCAGCGTACAACCAATCAGTTTCTTCATTTTTCTTGGGTTCCTAACTTTATGGTTAAAGTACTAATTTATGTGTACAAGCTAACACCGATTAAGTGACAATTCTATTGATTACGGGTATCTGCTGGATTGTTGTTACTTGTTAAAGGAATTGAGTAGAAATATCATAACTGGTTTCGAGACAGCAAGAAGCGTTTAGAGAATATATTCGAACATTGGATGGTCAAGGTGCTCACTTCAAGCTTAACCTATTATGATTTATCCCAATAATAGCGCTTCTCTAGTTCTGCTAATAAGAAATCATTCATTTCTGCAGTGATAGAGTAACTAACTTTTCTTCTTCATTACATTCAGCGATGTCGGGAAGCACTGCTTGAAGAATTGATCTGGAATGAGGTGTATGCCAAGCACAATGAAGCTAGAGTAAGGCGCCTTATCAATTCGCTTGTGAGGTCGCTCGGTGATGTTCCAAAACAAAAGGGTTTCACTAAGACATTTTCTCAAGAATTTGGGATGGTTGTGAAGGAACTAGAAAAGGATATGAATATGAGTTTTAAATCATTCAAAGTGCCACTACGAAGGCTCATCCTCAGGACTTTGGACAAGGTAGTTCTATTGCCACCTTTGTTTTTTCACTGCAAGAATAAGGATAAATAGATGTAATTTCTCCATCTCCTCATCATCTTATTACATTTGGTCTTCAAGTTTCCTATCAATTGTAACCAATCTAATCTATCTGCTTTGTGCTGCTTATTTATGCCTTCCTGCTCTGCTTGATTCCCTAATTCAACTATGCAGTATCAGCAGCAGGGAAGTGATGCTTTACTGAAGAATTCTCTGGAATCCAAAGTGCACAGCAGCCACTGGGGAGATGCACATGCCAATCCTAATTTCTGGTACTAACTAATTACTATTTACTCCCTGATTCTAATCCCTTCTTCTTCTATCTAGCTGCTGCTAAGTCTTCTAATTAATTTAATTTGGTCACTACTTATTTCAGGACTAGAGCATTCGGACTAAGCCTCCTCCTCAGCTTCTTCAGCTTCGAAGTTGGACAACAATATGAGATTCTCAATGGAGAGGGAGAGCTTCCAAAGTGATGATGTCAATTTAATGCATGCATGTAGGGATCAGACCAGTTGGTGTTTTGTAATACTAATCTATACCTAGAGGCATTGTCACCTTGGTGTCAATGATTTGCCCCCCTTTCATATGAACAATTAGTTAATGATTTAACGTGTCTGACAACTTCCGACAACTATGAATATCCCATCTTTTGTTCTGTGGCTGAGCCGTGCTATATTAGGATAACTGTTCGCATTATGATAATCCGCTCTATATTTGTTTGGGAATGAGTCGATCAGTATGCTATGACTTCTTTTGGTCCTGTCTATGAAAACAGGGAGCAATCTTGGCTGATCAAGTTCATTTTAAGCAAAAGATAGTTTACATCAATTACTTGTTAATTAGTTTTGACATTTTTGTGATCTAGCCTGAATTGTGTGTATCAGTTGCACCTTATATGCTTGACCAAGTCCACTTGGAATTGATATGTTGAATATGGATATGCTTTTCTTTTTCACTGGAACTGCCTATGATGCTTCATGAAAATCTTATTATTCATTATGTTTTATACCAACCTACAGAAATATGCCATGTCTGCCTACTTGACAGCCACAGAATTTTAGCTTTCTGAGCTAATCATGTTTTTCCAACCTTTTTACCGATGTACTTCGTGGGTGAATTTTACTTATAATGCAGAAATTGTCTTAGTTTACAAATTCTCACATATTGCTCCTTTCTGCCGTAGATGGTATTCAGCAGGTATGCAATAGATTTTAGCACCTGTAGACTGATAATCTTTTCTGGCCATATATAGCTGCCAATTCTTTTTTTTCTTTCAATGAGAAAATTCTCTTTCAGATCAAATAAGATTTTTAGAGATACATAAGATTCCTATTAAACAAATAACTAGGATTTTCTTTATGAGCTTTGCTACGGTCCAACAGGTACATGGATTTGAATTTTCTTTATGAGCTTTGCTATGGTCCAACAGGTGGTACCTCTGGCAACTGGTACTTCCAGGTACCAAGTAAAATCCAACCGTCCAATCTAAAAGGTCTAAAAGGGTACGATGGGAACAACGGTTGAGAGGTCCTCCCCCTCCCCGCGAGGCAGAAACCGTGCATCCTCTGCTCATCCACCATGCTCGTCCGGTCGGACCGTCGGAAGAGGGGGTCGCTGGCGAGCTTGGGGTAAGTGCCGCACAGGAGTAAATGCCAATCCAGGCTGGGAATCTCCTTCGCCATGGACATGGACGAGCTCCTAAACTCCTCCGTGAACTAATCTACACCGGATCTCCATCACCATGAACTAGATAGCATCAGCTCCTCCGTTGCCATGGACCATCGTGTAAGAAAAAAATTGGACACAGGAACATCATTGGGTGAGGAAAAGAAAAGCCAAAATTCAGGTGGATCGATCTCCAGCACCATGTATGATGGACCAAAGCTGATGCTCCTCCCTCACCATGGACAAATCAGGCGTCCACCATGTGAATGGGATGGGGGAGTTGAACTAGTGGCCTCTGGATCTAGGACTAGGACGAGAAGGGTGGAGGGGGAGGAGAAGGAGAAGAAGGGGGCGGTGGCAGCGATAGGTGGTAGTGAGGGAGGCTGAGGTCGTTGACTTCTTGGATCCGGCCGGCGATCTTGGAGGAAAGGGATGCGCCGTTCCAAGGAGGGGATCGGGAAAGGAGCGACTCAGCGCAACCGAAAACGATGCGAAAATCCACTTTTGCCCTTTCACTTGCTAACCGCATGCGGGCGGACGGGAGGTACCACCGCATGGATACTCCAGTACCTCACGGTACTGAGGATCATCAGCTGTCAGATCTAGTTACATTGACGTACAGGATTTGGTACCTCCTCTCGTGATGACTATAAAAATCCACTTTTTTTATAGTACATTCGGATAAACATGGGCCGTTCATGGTACTATAAATACAACGGACGACGTGTACTCATGGTTGATTATAGGGATCTCATGGTTGATTGGTATCAATTGCTCGATGTTTCTGTTCGATCCACTTTTTTTTATACCTCAAATGTGTTAAACGTGTCGGTTCCTAAACTGACACCTTTAATTTCTCTCATAAGTGTCACCTGTTGGGTGCTGGTTGGGAAAACTGATATCTATGCGGGGTTCCCAAACGACTCTAATTTGTATTTCTGTAGTAGTGATAATTTGTTATAGGTTGTCCATCGTCATATGTTTGTGTGTTCAATCAACTACTAGTCTTGTTGATGTCCGTCTTGGTGGACGTAGAGGCCTAATACCGTCCACTCCGAGTCGGATTAGAACACATCGCAGATTGATCCTATATATTTTTGGTCAGAAACCCGTTGCGACTCTGATCACCAAACGAGACGAAACCGACGTCGTCGATCGCTCGCTCGCTCGCCGCCATGGCCACTGTTCTCCGATCCCTGACGACCCTGAGTAGTCGCTCGTCGGCAACCACCGCCGGCATCGTCAGCCGCCGCCTCATTTGCAACGCGGCGTCAGATCATCATCAGGTCCGCCTCACTGGATCGATCGATTATTGTAACCAATTAATCTACCTGCTTATATGGTGTATTTATATGTTTATGCCTGATTATATTTCTTCCATTAGAAGCTCGCAAAGAACAGCGGCGGCACGAAGACGGAGGTGGTATCGGCGACTGTGAATTCCGAAGTGCAAATCGTCAGCTGGTGAGATATATATGCTCGTAATCCTACTGCCTATATACTAGCTCTACAACCACCAGTAATTGCTGTTACTGCTACATTAGGGCAAGACGACAAGTTTTACAGCGGATGTGATTACCACATCTAATTTTAGCTATGTCATCTATAAATTTATTAAGATGTAACATGCATATTATGTTACTTTTAGTACACAAATCCTAACATTTTCTTGAATTGGTCCACTCTCACACTATTCCACTTTCTTTTTGCCTCTTGCATGAGAGTTGGGTTATGTTCTCTTTTCACTTCCCTTCGATCTCCACCTCATCATCTAATTTAATGTGACACTTTTAGGGGTAACACATAAGTCCTTACCCTTAAAGTCCCCTATCTAACTACTTTGCTCTTTATTTATTTATTTGTTTGTTTATTTGTTTCAGGGGTAGATTATTCGGTTTAGCCGTTATCACCTTCTTCAGCTGCAAACTTGGAGGAAGATATGCCAACTACCAATACGAGAGGTCCCTTTTCGAGGGCTTCCAAAAATCTAAGCAGGAGATGTCAACACCACAGCTGTAAAGGTGTGCCTAGCTATTAGGTATTTTTACAGTACCTACCATTGGTGGATGTAGTAGTAGTGTAAGGCTGTATGTTTAGTTCAGCGCAAAGTTTGGATTTTGGTTAAAATTAAAAATGATGTGACTGAAAAACTGTGTGTGTATGATATATTGATGTGATGAAAAAAGACTGAAGTTTGGATCTAAACTTTGGATCTAAACACAGCCTAACTAAGAATAAATCCCATCGTTGATTTTGATGGTCATTTAAGTCATTTACTTAATTAAGGTGGAAGGATAATCCAGTAATTATGTTGCAATGATTAGACCAAACAGGCACCGCCAAGCCCAATATCGTTTAATCCTTTGTAGACCAAGAGCACTGTTCACAAGAAAACACGGCGGTCTGTGAGATCTACTTAGCTCCAGTGCAGGTCCAAGGCTTGCCTCGAGGTGCTAAGGGCATGCTAGCTGGTTTGATCCTGTAACCAGCAAGGAAACAAAAGATAGGGTTAGTCAGCCGATAGCCGATAGGCCGATAGCGTATCGTTGGTGGTTCTAGCCAATTGGATAATACCAAACCGGTTACAGACTTGGTAGATAAAAACCCCTAAACATGCCCTACCGGCTCCAATATTGTCTATGGAGATTAACAGAAGGAGCTTAAGACAATACTAAGGAAGATAGCCGATATGATGATATTTGGAGCGATAAAGATAACGTGTTAGCTAATACTCTAGCACAAACCTATAAATGATATTTGGAGCGATAAAGATAACGTGCCAGCTAATACTCTAGCACAAACCTATATAGGCAGACCAATCTATAGCAAGGTATCAAGAATAAGCCGATAAGATGATATTTGGAGCGATAAAGATAACGTGTCAGCTAATACTCTAGCACAAACCTATATAGGCAGACCAATCTATAGCAAGGTATCAAGAATAAGCCGATAATCAATTTTGGTGTCCCAGCCGATACGACATAGGCTTGATGCAATGCTATAAAAAGATCGGTCTATATAAGTGGCAAATTTACATAAAACATATTAAGAAACATGCATATAAGATAAGATCGGCTGAAACTCTGATGCAACCCTTAGTACCAGCCAAAGATAGGCTAGCCTTTACGATTCTAAGCACGATTTTGGATGCAAATGCGGATTCGGATTTATATGTTTTATAAGAATTTTGCTTGATTAAAAGTACATATATAGTTTATATGTATAAAATTTTAATGTATGAATATGTATAAACTTTATACACACGAATATTTCTAGCTAAGCAGCATCATTTTGCTTCTATTAGTAATTTTTTTTCTTCTCTTAATTTTTTCTTTAAAAAAACCATCTATGGGAGCATAACGGAAAAAAAGGGAGTGCCGCCACGACATGGCTTGACCGCGTGTTCGAGCCCACGTACAGTCACTCATGCGGTAGACCTCCCCGCAGCAGCATAACATCAAGGATTCATCGAAAAAATAAGAGGCAATTGTATTCTTACCCGTACTTTGAAGTTTAATTGTGGTTTTACCCTTAGTTTTTAGGGTTTGCGTTTTTACCCCTGTGTTTTTGAAATGAAGAAGAGTTTTGCCCCTAGTCGATGATTAGTTTGACGGTGTTAGTTTGAGCACAAAAGTACATTTATACCCTTACTTGCCATTGCATATATATTTGCCCCTACTTTCGGACATTAGTTGTGTTTTTGCTCCTATTCTGCTTTGAACTGAAAATTTGTGAAATAATTTATATATGATCGAACTATTGCAAAGCTTCACAGATCAAATAATACATCAAGTTGTTGCAAATTAAGCTTCATGTTGCTCGATAACCCAGTGCTTGCTAAGCGGTAAGCGTTAGTGATAACCTAGCTAGAGCGAGGCATGGAGAGCCTGAAAGACATGGCAAATGTCCTTCATCCCCTACTTGGCCACATCCCTGCAGAAGAAATTAATCAAGGTTGTACCAGCACAGCTAGCAGAGCACTGCAGCCGGGTCACACGTGGTGGCTGTTCATGGTGGACAAACGGAGGCATATACTACCTCCGTTTTTTAACAGAT